TCACTGACATAATAATACGCAGTACAACCAAAAGCTTTCAAACTTGAGTAGGAAGGGGACATATCAGACCACACTTCATAAGGTATCTTGCAGTCTATACCTGTATGAGGTGCACGATTGATCAAGAAGTAGGTTGTGCTCACTGCTTCTGCCCAGAACCTCCTTGGCAACCCAGCATTGAAGAGCATACACCGTGCTCTCTCTAGAAATGTCTGATTCATGCGTTCTGCTACACCGTTTTGTTGTGGTGTGTGTCGAACTGTGTGATGCCGAGCAATTCTTCATCTTTGCAGAACTCATCAAACTCCTTTGAACAAAATTCCAGACCATTATCAGTTCGCAGCCTTTTGATCTTCTTTCCAGTTTGATTCTCCACTAAGGCCTTCCACTGCTTGAAGTTCTTGAAAGCTTCACCTTTTTCCTTCATAACGATTATCCAAGTCATCCTTGAATAATCATCAATCATGGATAAAAAATACCGACAACCTCCCAAAGACTCAACTAGTGAAGGACCCCAACAGTCAGAATGGATGTAATCAAGTGTGCCTTTTGTCTTGTGAATTGCCTTCCCAAACTTTCTGCGATGTAGTTTACCGAAAGTACAATGTTCACAGAATCCAAGATCAGTGACCTTGTGGCCTTCTAGAAGATCACGTTTAGACAGAACCTGCATCCCCTTTCGCTCATATGACCAAGCCTAATGTGTCACATCTTGGTCATATCAGACCTACGATCTTCAGAAGATGCAACAGCAGCAGCGGCAGAACCTGTTAGCGTAGAACCCTGTAAGATGTACAGGGTGCCATGCTTAACTCCTTTGAGAACCACTAATGAACCTTTACTGATGCACAACTTTCCACTTCCTCCGCTGAACCTGAAACCTTTACTGTCAAGAGTACTAAGTGATATCAGATTCTTCGTCATTTTGGGAACGTGCCTGACTTCGTTCAGTGTGACAATTCTCCCAGCATGTGTCCTGATCTTAATCGAACCGATTCCAACAGCCTTGCAACAGCGCTATTAGCCATCACGATATTTTCGCCATCTATCTGTTCATATGTTGTAAACCATTCCTTGTTTGGACATATGTGATAGGACGCCCCAAAATCAAGAACCCACACATCAGAGTGATGTGTTGGTTCGTTTGCAATTAGTGCCAGGTCTTCTTCTGAATTTTTCGCTTCCTTTTCAGCAACTGAAGCTGAAGCGTGTTGTTTTTCCTGCTGCTTCTTCTTCTTAGGACAATTAGATTTCCAATGACCCTTTTTCTTGCAGTAGTTACAGACATCATCCGGCTTGGGACCTTTAGAGAACTGCTTCTTGTTTTCGGATTTCTTTTTCCAAAATTTTCCTTTACCACTGCTGACAACTAGCCCAGCAGCCTGATTATCTGTAACCTTATCAGCCGCCTTATGGCGCAACTCTCTACTATGCAGTGCTGATCTTATTTCTTCTAAAGTCACTGTATCTTTACCGCCAATGAAAGACTGAACAAAATTCTCATACGATAACGGTAGAGACACTAACAGAATCAACGCGGTATCCTCATCCTCAATTTTAACATCAATATTATGCAACTCAAGAAGAATCGTATTTAATTGATTTAAATGTTCTCGAAGAGGAGTACCTTCCTGCATACGCAGACTGAACAGACGTTGCTTTAGGAGCAACTTGTTGGCTAAAAACTTCGTCATATAGAGACTCTCAAGTTTAACCCACAGCAATTTCTTCACCGGCGACCTTAGTGATGACATCATCTGCCAGGCACAGCATGATTGTCGAGTGAGCCTTTTCCTCTAGACTCATCGACTCTTCATCAACGGAATCCGATTTCTTCTTCGTCAGCGGACTCCACAGACCCTGTTGCTTTAACAGAGCCCGCATCTTGATCTGCCACAGACTAAAACTATTTCTCTGGTGAACTTGTCGATCTTGATGTTCAAAGCAGACTCGTTATTGCGTGATCCGAGCCCTAGGACGAACCTAGAGCTCTGATACCAGTTTGTTATAACAGATGCAGCGGAACAGAAAAATAAACAAGAACAGACAAGAACAACTTGGAGGAAATCAGATTTTATTAGGGTTGTAATCGGAATAGTTTACAGACTAAAATAAGGTGTATATATATACAACCAAACGGACTGGACCAAAAATAGGCCCAAAACAAGACCCAAAATAAAACAGATACGGTAACTAATATTTACCGTAAGCTCAGCGAAGGTCGAAGATCTAATTCAAGGCATCTCAACACTAACAAATTTGGTTGCTATGCAAGCAAAGCTCTAAATATTTGTGCCAAGTGGGTTGAAATTAACTTGCGCAATTTGAAAGGTAATATGCAAATTATGTCTGTAAAAAACAAGAAGTTGCATTCTTAAACTTGAATGCATGAGAAACAGCGACTCAGTAATATTTTTTTTTTTTGTCAACAGGTTTGAAAATATGCTCCAAAGATGCATCAGAGATTGACTTTGATAGTCACTTCATTAATTAATGGCTCCCGCCATATCTCCCCAATGGCTGTGACGCGTTGAGTAAGAATTTCTAATGCTTACATTAACGGTGATTTGACAATCTTGGCACTTTCGCTAGTAAGGTGAAGTGTGACGCCCCGAAAGAATGAGTGTGAAAACTAAAAAATTTTATATATTTTCTAGACATTATTTTGTTTTCTTGTCTATAATTTTATACCTTTTTTCAATATATTAATTTCCTATACATTTTTATAAGGGAATATAGTTTTCAAATCATTTCCTTGATACAAGTTAGTCCACGTTAAGTTTGAAGTGTATTATGGACGTGGGACCCGCTAGTGCGGTAAATGCGATATATTTTTGACAACTTGTTGGAGTTTTGTATTAAGTAATATTATTTTACAAGGTGTTAGGAAATAATTAGAGGTTACTTGGAGGGATTAACCATTGGAAGACAACAAAATGAGGATTAACCCTTGGATGCCATTTGTCCTTGAAACATTGGACCTTGACTTTGACTTGGACTTGTCTTAACCTTTACTAAACCAAATTTTGACCCAATTTCTTTCCATTTTCATTGTCCTGGCCGAAATTTATGGAGAGGAAAGAACAAGAGAGAGTTTCTTCAACTTCAACTTCAATTCTTGCTCAAATCTTGAGTTTCAACCGTTGAATTATCAAATTACTCCATCAAAGTTGTTTATTAAGGAGGATTAAAGCTTCTAGTGGAGGGATTTGTGAAAGGAAAATCCTAAGTTATCATCTTTCTTGAGGTGTTTAGGTACTTTGTTTACAAACTTTCTCTTTGTTCTTGCTAATGTCAAATTAGTGGCTTAGTGGCTAAATATGTTGATTTGTGGTAGATTTTATGGTTGAAAGTGGAGTTTTGATGAATTTTTGATTGATTAGTGATTTTTCTGTTTTTATATCATAATTATTGTTTAGTCATGGATTGATGGCCTGTTATAGTGTAAAATGGAGATTGGTATATGTTGGATATGATTAGTTGCAGAAAATTTCAGAGTTTATGCGGAATTTTCAGTTTAGGGTTTCATCCTACCCTGTTCTGTCCGAACCTGTTAGGCCATGATTGAGGCAGAATCAGCCTTTGCCCAAAACATGAAAGTTGTTGGTAATTGAGTTAGCTAGCTATCTGTAAAATTTCAACTCAATCGGAGCACTGTAGCATATGAAATGACAGAAATACCCTTGACTGCCCATGAGCCCTGTTTCGCGCCCAGATTTCTGTTTTCGTGGAGTTTTCCATTTTTTTGACTCTGAAAATGCATGATTTGGCTTTGGAGGTCTTCATAAGAAATGTAGGGTTATGTCTTGGTTTCGAAACGCCATAAGATTCGTTTCAATCCGATAAGTATAGCTTCAGTTATGGATATTGTGTCGAAAGGTGTATTTGATAGTCTATGATGTGTATGTGGTTGATTTGAGATGAATTGGTGTTGCTTGTAGGATGGAAAAGTAAGGAAATTAAGGGTATATGCTGTCCGATCTTTGAAAGCATTTGATTGCTTTGAGTTTGAGTTGAAGGGTTTGGACTTGAGCAAGGCAACGATATATGATGGATGGTTCCTGAGCCGTGGTTGGTGAGTGATCCCTCAACTACTTCCAAAGTTACTTTTGAACTAATTCTTGCTAATTCTTGCACTGGTTCCTCAATTGCTTGCATTGGTTGTTTGATTGCATATCATTTGTGTATGTGTGTGTGCTATGACATAATTTGGCTCCAATGAGTTTTTGAAAAAATCTTGTGTTTAGAACCAACGTCTCCACTACGGTTTACACATTCTTTGGAGCACGATGGCTCCTTATTTCTGTTTATCTGTTACCTGATCTAAATGAGCGTTGGATATTTAAGTACAAGAACTTCACCGGCTCACACGAGCAATAAATGTACATTTGATTACTGCATCATGACATCATCTAAATGCTTTATTGTGAAATATACTTAATTATTGATTTTACTGGACACTCGCTGAGTTTCTAGCTCACCTCCAAATGTTTTCTTCTCTCCATAGGGATCGAGGCAAAGGAAGCACGTGTAATAAGTTAACGTATCTGGAAGATTATTTCATGTATATTTCGCTTTTGATTCACTTGTGGTTTATATATTCGTGGAACTTGGGGAAAAATATTATTTTGTTTATTATTGAGATTGTACCATAGGTTATTGGATGTGATGATTCACCTTGTGTAATTGTGGGCCTGTATAAATATTTGGAATTGAATTGGTTGTATATATACGTTCCACGTTTAGAATTAGTTTTCGCTTCGCTTATGATATGTAATTTTTGGAGAATTTGATGTATTATTTGAGTTGTGCCTTATATTTTATTGAGGAATGTAGTGAGTGAGTAAGTCCCGACGAGAGCTGGGCAGGCGGTCCGCCGAACCCTTTGGTTTGCCTTAGGGGGAGGTGGGGCTGTCACATGAAGCCTATATAAATGCCAAATCTTGGGGTGCAATAGAGCACACCAAATTGAACTGCGAAGTGTGAACCTTGTTAGCAATATGGGTTCTTCTTCGAAAAAATGTGTCTTTGTGTTTCTTCTTCTCTTGAGCATTGTGTTAGAGTTGAGTGTAACAACTCTTGGTGATGGCAAGCTTAACAAAGAATTGAAGGAAGATGGTTGTGGAATTGGTAGGAGGGGTTGTAGTGGTAGGGGAAGGGAAGGACGAGGGTTATTTGGAGTCGGAGGAGTTGGTGGTGGCAGTGGGTTTGGAGCTGGAGGCGGTGTCGGCGCAGGTGCAAGTGGCGGAGTTGGTGGAGGAGAAGGTTTTGGAGCAGGTGGTGGCGTTGGATGTGGTGGTGGTGGAGGTGGAGGTGGAGGTGGAGGAGGAGGCCTCGGAGGAGGTTTTGGACAAGGTGGTGGATTTGGTGGTGGAGTTGGAGCAGGTGGAGGCGTTGGAGGCGGTGGAGGATTCGGAGGAGGTGGTGGTGGTGGACTTTAATTATGTCCATGCAAGACTAGTTCAACTGTTGTACTTTGTTTTCTTGAATCCCATGTCTAAATATTACCTCCCTGGCCTATAAATGGTGGGGCGGAGCTCGTTAATTTTCATAAATAATATGGAAATCTTGGGGAAAAAAAGTACGTATGTCCTATTAAATAAATAACTAATGCACGATTTTCATGCCCTATTAATTAAACACTTCCAGATTTCCTTGTTCCCTTTTTGTGCAAGATCATCCGTCATTTTATGCACTCGTGTGACGAGACCTATGAAACCCGATGCTCAGCTCACTGATTTCCGTGAATCTAATTTGACAAATATTGTGTAAATTTGGTATCTAGCATATTTTACTTCCAAAAGGAAACTTTTTATTATGTGTAAATTTTGCTGAAGAACCAAAATGATACGAATTTACTGAAACATTTGGACCTCGTTTGGCTCTTCAAAATTATACCAAAACAGGCTTATTAATTGATTCCAATCTTTTGGTTAACTGATTTCATTCTGATTTTGTCTCTGCCGTCTGCTGTTTCCTTCGGTTTTGATGAGAATCTGGGAGCTTCTGTCCAAGTGCTAAATTTCCTTCTAGACAGTGGCCTTCGTTTTACAAAAGAAGAAAAGGTAGAATAGGTTTAGTACATAAAAGTACGTATTGATCTAACTTTTATAATCTAAACAAAAGAGGGCATGCAATTCGAAGGCGAATGTGGAGCTCCTCCATACCTATAGATACAACCGTTGACAGTGTCCCCCATAAGAAATAGAAGATTGGAAGGCAATGAGAGAAGAAATGGCTAATCAAATGCATACTGCGTCACAAAGGCGGAGATAGTAGTTGAATGACCATCATTGGCCAACACGCTGCATGCGTAGGTGATGATGAAGTAAGCATAAAAACGGATGAGGGGTATAGTGGAGTTTACCTCAAAATGCATGTTGTTTTAAACTCTTTCTATATGGATAAGTTAAATTTAGGAAGTTATTGAATTCGTATAGTAGGAGATGTAGGATAAGTGAAATAAATTGTGCAATTATTTGTTTTTGTCACTTGGATTGGTCTTTACTTTCTTGGAAACCCACATTTACGCCCGATGTACTAGTGTATTTCAAGCATTCTATAGTAATAGAAATTGTTTCATTATTCACCGCAACCGCTTATACTCGCAACTCTCAAAGTAGGCCACCCACAACTCTAGACACATCCAAGGAGAACGGATGGGACCCAAGATGGAAATCCACCTAGCATTCGTCCTACAGTGGCCACGTTTTAGAACTTTGCTTCTCGATTTTTCTGAATTGTCCTCGTCAGCATTACATTTCGTCAATACATGCAGTCTACAAAATGCAAACCCAAACGTTTTTTTCGTTATCTGAAATAATTCGAAGGAGTGGTAAATATTATGTCAAATATTATTTCAAATATTATCTATCCAAACACTCTGAATATCATTTTGTTCACTAAATATTGAGAATTCAATAGGAAAATATTCACCTCTTCTATCACTTTTTAAGATTTTGATTTTCTTTTCTAATTGATTTTCAACAAGTGATTTGTGAGAATTTGGTTAACTTAATTGTCTGTTAGAAGCCAAAGTTTCTGAAACATTTTTGGCAATTTTTATCTATTGAAAGGACTTAATGGGGCCTTTCTATTAAGTCCTTTCAATATAAATATGTAAAATAGTGGCTGAATATATTGTGACCCTTGGATTGTCTTTTCACTAGATTATTGGAAAAATAAAACAAGATAATAGAATAGTGCAAAAACTTCACTAACAAATTCCACAAAAAATAGGGAATTTGTTGATGATTCTTGACACATGTACAATACTATTCTTAACGTGTTTATTGCCCCAACTACACATAGTAGTTTACTTCTGGGTTAAGGCAATACACTTCTAGGATATAACAAAAATAAAGAACTTTAAACAGCAAAACCAAAGGTCTTTTACTAAGAAATTATCAAAATGGCTAAATTAGTTTGTTTCACCAAAAGTATAAAAGATATCAAAACTAAAGAGGCACAATTATCTCACTTCAATGATCATTAAGAGGCTGCTTTAGTCTCCTTTAATAGGAAAAAAATATCAAAACTGTTTCCTCGCTATAATGATCATCGAGACGTTGAAATTAGTCTCATTCAATGAACAAAAAATGTCAAAATCGTTTCTTCACTACAATGGTCATTAAGAGGCTACACTAAGCATTTTTCTTTTGTCGCTTATTTTGAATTTAACAAGTTTTATTTCCATTTCAATTCGCAAAATATTCCAACAATCCCCCACTTAGTTTGTGAATGAAATGAACAAACTAACATACATAAAACACCATGCATAAAAATAAGTATCGTTAGATTTAAACTTTTCTTTAGCATTAGCATATCACTTTGAATTAATCAAATCATGGTTGTTTATAAAATATTAAACCAAGATTTGAAAAGTAGCCTAGAAACACCACACGCCTGGCATTTAAACATTTGATCAATTCATAAAAATCTTTAGCACTATTACTGGCTATATGATCCATCCTAGATTCATGATTATAAAATAAGCAAACCCAACTTTTACTAGAATCTGCACCACTCCTATGATCATATAGCTGAAAGCACTTTTACAAGATTTTAAAACCCAACTCGGACTGCCTGGTCGAACTGGTTGAATCGTTGACGAGGCCGTTGGGTGATCCAGGTTATAATTCAAACCTAGAAGGGTTTAAAAATCGATCTCTTTTATCAAAACTAGTTAAATCAGTTGGTTCAACCATTGGACTGCAAGACTAGAGCAATTTTCATTAACCTGGTCTAGTTCTATGTATTAGTCAAAAATCAAATTTTTGGTCAAAATTTAAAATTGCTTAAGCTTTATAGAGATGAAACCATATAGTCTTATGAATAGTCTGAACTTCTAAAGAGCAAACATACGGAGCAACAGACATATATGAATTGTCTATTGCTACAGAAATCAAACGTATTTTTGCAACTTATAGACATATACTTACTAGAAATTTGAGCAAACATACGGAGCAACAGAAATCAAATAGATTTGGCTACTCAGAAACTTACATTTTACCGATAAGTATTCATCTTTTTTCATCATTTTTCTATCCTTATTTTTATGCTAAAAAGTGATAACTTTTTGGCAATTAATCTTTGGACCTTTTGAAATTTGAAGAAAAATTTAGGAGATAACATATATTACAAATTTTGTTTAAAAAAAAATTCTACTGCTATAAATTAGCTAAGCCTTTGATTTTTTTTTCATTTAATCTCTTGGTTGCATTGTTATTTTTGCTATTTCAAACAAAATTTTTTATCTTGTTCTAGCATTTTTCTTGATTTTTTCCCCTAAACATTATGTTTTTGAGACTTCACTTGTTTTTCAGCATTTTTATTTCTTTCTGGCATTCATATTTTGGTTTTACTTTTTTTTAGCGAATTGTTTCTCAACTTTAAGCTCAAATTATTTACATATTTACTTTTATTATTTCTTTGCAGACTTCTTTCCGGCATTAGTTTTCTTTTTTTCCTATATATATAGATGAATAACCTAGTATTATATAGATTTAAGAATAGTGATACATTATTGATTTGTGTGACATTCAATTCTAAATATGAACATTTTGGCAAAAAAAAAGAAAAAACGGAGCTTGAAAAAAAAAGGTTGAACTTGGTTCTAATTTGCTATAAAACTAGAATACAGTAGATGACCTATTTCAATATTTTTCCCTATTTGTTAGATGTGACTAAATAGGTACCAATCATAAGTTAATGTGCCATGTCACAAACCTGCAGAATATCAATTACCATCAACTATTATTATATACTTCATCATTTTTTCAATTACTTTTAGGATTTTTTTTTTGCTTATGTTAATTATTCAAAAGATTAGCATTTTTGTTATGTCACACTCGTCACTTGATTACTAAAACAAACTCAATTTTATGCAAAAATTTAAAAATGGAAGTTTCTTCGACATGCAACTCTAGTTCACAATCTAACCCATCTCTAAGTGTTAGCCTGATATTACTTAGGATTAGAAAAGATAGTCATTCCTATCAACCGACACTTAGGGTTTCTCTCTAGAGATAGGGTTTCTCGTTAGAGTTATTGCCGATCATGGCCACTTCAGCTGCTTTTCAACCCATGGTTGGAGGGTAACCACCATTTGTAAACCACCCTCGCTTCACCAGAAGTCCTTCTCCTCTTTATTCTTGTCTTGGGACTAGCCAGCATTGGAGTTGTAGGTAAGATAACCAAGAAGGGAGAACAAGCTATGGTTTTCTCAAGTCATGACATGGTAAATATCGCAACTCTCTTCCATCTATCTCTGGTGGAAAAATTCTCGAAGAGAAGACCACGTATGGAGGAGATTCGTAAATTCTTCTCTGCCTTAGATTTGAAAGATATTGCCATGGTTGACTTGTTGGACCATCAACATGTGCTAATTTGTTTGAGTAACGAATCGGACTTTCACCGAATTTAGGGACGGAATATATGGTATATCTATGGGTGCCCTATGCGAGTGTTTAAATGCTCCCCTTCTTTTCACGTTGACAAGGGGTCGGCGATTGCTCCAGTTTGATTTTCACTTTCGAAGCTGCCTGTTCATTTGTTCAAAAAGGAATGTTTGTTCCATATAGTTTCCTGCTTGGGTAGACCGTTGTTCATGGATTCTGCCACAATTACATTGTCTCGGCCTAGTGTTGCTCGAGTCTGTGTGGAAATCAACCTGTTGAATCCGTTACCGAAGCAGGTTTGGGTTGGGGTAGGCACTAGTGATGCAGAGGGTTTTTGGCAACCACTTGAGCCTGAGAATCTACCACTATATTATAGCTTTTGCTTTTGGCAGGGGCACTCTGAAGTTGATTATTGAGTTCGAAATCAAGAGCTATGGGAGAGGCTTAATCAGCACCGAAATCAAGTGATGTGTCATGAGAAAAGGATTGTTATTGTTGAATTTCGCCCAAAGCAACCTAGGGAGGGATTGGAGAAGCAGAGT